CGTGCCAACCCCGCCGCCGCGCTAAGCCGCCGCCCCGCCACCTCCCCTCGCCGGAGGTAGCCGCCGGACTCTACCACCGGTATTTTTATAAAAACCGTTCATTTTTTTAGAAACCCTAGATCCGTTTTTTTGGATTCGCCGGTTTTTCTTGGTTCTTCTAGTTAGCGATCGTTCGTCCGTACGTTCGTTTTAACGTACGGTTTCGCCCGTTAGTTACAGCTAACGAACGCTCGTTCGTTAGTCTGTTCATGAGTTTTCTTTTATCGGATTTATTCCGCGATTTTTCTGATCGCGATTTTTGATCCGATCTTAGTTTCTGTTTATCTTTTCGCTCGTTAGTCGGAATCAGGCGATTCAAGCGCCTAGAGTTTTGTCTCGAAACCCTCTTCCTGTTTAACCAACTCAAACAAGTTTTTGCTACTGTACAATTTGACCTAGTTTCAGATTAGTAAACGAAGTTTCTTTCTTTCGCCGTTTGAGTTTCGTTGCTCCATTTGATTTGATTCTTTTTGCGAACCAGAGTTCTTAATTTGAACTTTCTGGTCAACCTCTTTTATTTGAGTTTTGCTTGTGCATCGTTGCTTGTTACTTATGTATGCTATTGTTTGCCTGCGATAGAACACCCGGAGTGCGAAGCGTGCTACTACGAGTCCCTAGGTTTCGCAAATCGTCAGCAAGGCAAGTAACACTTTGATCATACCCCTTTATCACCCAATTTTTATGCATTAGTTTCAATCCTCAAACATTGCATGATTAGGATGTCATTAACTTGTGGGTTGGGAAGTAGTTGAGGAGGTAGAACCTATTGCCCTGTTACATTCAAACCCTTGGGAGTACTCTACGCATTGCTTATATTACTATGCTATGCTATACTCGTAGACGTGGTTTAGGTTTGAGTGAAATCCATGACAGATGTGAGCTTGTTAATTAATGGTTCAACTTAAGGTGGCAACTTAATCAAACAACTGGGTGGATTGAGGCACCTGGAGTACCCAATGTTGCCTGTATTTTTGGAAATCCCGGAGTACCTGTGTGATCTTCCTATGGACCTCCACCCAGGCTCAAAGGGAACTGAGATGATTCATGCTAGAAACTTCCGTGTGCAGCCACAAACTATTATGGGCTCTAGCATAGTTGAGTAAGTTACGTGAAGCTCTTGAAGAGGCAGATCAGCAGGTAGTGGGATGTAGGTTTGGTATGGTCTGTCCGGAGTAGAGAGTTAATATTTCTGAAAGACTGTGTCTCGGTCATCCGTTTCTCAAACACCCTGTAGTGCGAGAAATCCAGCGGAGGAGATCGAGTCTTGTGGGGAAAAGTGCGCAAACCTCTGCAGAGTGTACAATCTAATCATGGTTAGCCGTGTCCCCGGTTATGGACAATTCTTGAGTATCTAGTACTTGGGTTATCACATGTATCTCATCATGTTTAATTAATATTATTGGGTTGTTAATCACTTTAATTGGGATTGAGTTGGAGGAACCTTCTCAATGATGTTTCAACTACCATGATAGTTAAATTAAAATCTATTCCTTTGTTGTAGGGAAAAATTGGCTTTTCACAAAAACTATAAACCAGAGCTTTCCACCAGCCATATATACATATAGTGATAGCATTATTCTGTTCTTGCTCTACTGTGTTACTTTGCCGACATATTCCATGTGTTGACCCGTTTTTGGGCTGCAACATATTATGTTGCAGACTTTTCAGACGAGGAGTAAGGTTCGTTAGGTCGTTGCCGTGCAGCTCAGCTATGTCGTTGGAGTTGATGGACTCACTTTATCTTCCAAGCCTTCCGCTGTTATCGTATTAGATGGCCTTAAGTCATATTACTGTAATAAGTTCTCTCTTGAGACATTCGATGTAATAAGTGTGTGATTGCTACTCTGTTATAAATCCTTCGAGTACTGTGTATGTCAGCATTACCGATCCAGGGATGACACTGAAGCACAGAGACTTGACCATCTGAGGTCGGGTCGCTACAAAAGGCGAAAGAAGTGGCTTTTGCAAGCATGATGACCGGGGTGGAGATCATGAAGGTGGATCTCAACACCGTGTCGCCAAGGAAGAGGCTGTAGTTCGAGAAAATGCAGGCCGACATGCTCAAATTCGACGACGAGTGATCTATGCCGTCGAGGACCATCTTTTTTGTATGCCGGCATGACCCCGGGAGCCACGACGGCGTGGTCGAACTCAAGTCCCACTCTTTTCGTGTACTGGCATGTGTGCCGGTCGGCTGGCGAGTGCGCCAACATGAACTCTGGTGAAGCCGGCATTGTATGCCGGTGCTGGCATGGTGTCGGCATGAGACATGGCCGCTGTCATGATCGGCCGCGGGACTTTTTTATTTAAAAGTTAAATGCGGACATGAAATTGGTCGGCGCGTTGGGCGCACTGCCGATCCAAATGCAAAACTGGACGGACGCTGGACGGACGGCCGACCTAAACAGACAAAAAACGGACAAATGCACCGTCTGTTTGGGTCGCTCCATTGGAGTTGCTCTAAACTTGCTGAGACGGCAACAAGCTCTGACACGTTCGTCCGCACGTTTCGTCGATGAAAAGGGGTTAGAAAAAACGGGTTGCATTGCTCCAATCAGTTCCCTGCTGGATCCATATGTGGAAACAAAAGCTAAAAAGACCCACCAACGCAAAATCAATTGGATCTGAAATGTAGAGGGAGGGGAACAGCATCATCTGTCTGTCAGGGCCACTGAGTGCAGCACGTGGTGGCGGAGACCCGATGGAGCGCTGGCCCAGCTGCTGCAGTTGCCAGCTGAATTCTGAAATCCACAAGCGAGGATAACTTCTCCCTGCAACCATGTGATTAACTACTGGAAAATAATACTCCCAATCTACAATAGCACTGTAGGAGGACAGTAGCACTCTCTCACTTAGCTGTTGCTAGCTATCATCTCCTTTCCGCCCATCATGTGACCTCCATGCTTGTTCCTACCTAGCTGCCACCTTTTCTCCCTTTTAAAAATTGGGACCTCTCACTAAGTAAGTAGTACTAGCACTAACTAACTACCATATCTCTTGCTGTCATGTAGAGTACGTACTCCTAGCACTAACTAACCACCATATCTCCAGCATCTTATTGATGCCTAGTCCTAAACACATGCATGTTGCCACGAATAATGGCCATAAAATCATCAACTTCATCCCATCTACACTAATGCAACATGCCCCCACCCTGCATGTGATGTGCACCTACACACATACCTTGCATGTGATGTGCACCGAGAGACAAAATATATACACCTCCACCTACACATCTCCTACACTTGCAGCCCACACACATAGTACACACGAAGACCCCAGCGGTGCTAGATAGCTCAAGAAATGGCGCAGCTGCCGCCGAGAGCGCCGAGCGCCGGGGAGCAGGACTGGCCGGTGGCAGGCGAGTTCCTCGGGTTCGCTGCGGCCCGGCGGGGCGTGCACCGGCGCTCGGCCAGCGATCCGGCGGCTTTCCTGGAGGCCGTGCCAATGGACCACATCCTCAGTGGCGGCGGCGGCGACGACGAGTTCGACAGGTTCGACGACGAGCAGCTCATGTCCATGTTCTCCAATGTCGACGGCGGGTGCGACAGGCCGGGCTTCATGGACACGGGAGAGGCGGAGGAGGGGGCGGCCAGCGCGGGCGCAATGGCCGCCGCGGACGGCTTCGGTGACCCCAAGCGGGTTAAAAGGTCTGTTACATTTGCTAGTACTTAGCAAATTTAATTTTTCTTTTTAGCGGAGCAAAGTTAATTTTCTTTTTAACCCTGAACCGTAGAACAATAGTTCATGTAGTATTATACCAGAGTAAACGGTAGAAACACAATCACGTTTATTTTAAACATAGAGCTCGATTTGGTTGGCGATTCTACGGCAACTGTACATTTGTTTACTGTATCTCTAGAGCCAATAATTACCGGCAGTGAATCCGTAATTTTGGTTTTACCCCAGTGAAAAAATAAATACAATTTGGGTGTTCATAAATCACGACTAGTTGTTCAAATTAACAACCCTGCAAGAAGTTGCCACTTTAAAAGCCATTTTTAAATGGAAATTTTGATTCGACTCTGCTCCTAGTCCTGGGCCGCTCTCGGCGGCTCCGGAGGGGCCCCGTCGCCACCTCCTAACCGCCACGCCCTGCCTTCGCCGCCGCCGGAGGAGGTCACCGGGCTAAGCTTTGCGACACGGAGGACGACGGCGAGGCCATGCCCTCTCGCGCGCGAGATCCCCTCCCTTCGAGATCCGCTTCTTCGGCTGCTGCCCCAACCCCAGCTGGTCCTCCGGCACATGCTACGGCCTGGCCATGCCCTGTTTAGGCGGCTGCTCCTCCAGACGGCTCGGCCCAGCCTTCCCTCATGTTGCGTGAGCTAAGCCTACTAGGTCCTCCCGACGGCTCGGCCTATGGATCACGGAGGTTGCTAGGAGTACATTTCAAGCTTGGATCTCAAATTTCAGAAAGAATCGCTCAGGCGTAAATATTACTCAAATGTGCATGCTTCGTTGTAAAACAATTACTGAAATGCGCATTCGCATTATACATTCATACTGTATCCCTTATAGTAAGCTGAATACACAAAACTCTGCGAATCTAAGTAACAAATTAGTCGGCAATTTTGTTTCAGGATATTGGCCAACAGGCAGTCAGCGCAGAGGTCAAGAGTTCGGAAGTTGCAGTACATCTCAGAGCTTGAACGCAGCGTCACCGGTCTCCAGGTATTCACTTTGCTTCTCTCGTAAACGGACCTCAACAAAGAACTACAAAAAGATATCAAAAGAATCAAGAAAATAGTCTTGCGCATACTGAATACTTCCACAATTTCTGTCTTGCATTCCCAACAAATAGTCCCTAATTTTGTGTGTGTGTAAAGAAATAAGTGTCCATGACTTCTGCATGCACCTAGAACACTCAGAGCATTTTCCATACCCATTTTTTTTTCAATATTGTTTGCTATTCTTTTTCAAATTTACTGTTCATTTGGGAGTGAATGAGCTCAGTCTCCAAGAGCAATTACCAAGTTTTTCACTATTTCTCGAGATAGTTCAGAGACCACAAAAGAGATTTTTCCCCGCAAAAAAGAAACAAAAAGGGAATTTTAACCATTGAAATCCCAAATTTTGATTGGCCGTTTACTTGGTTCAGATGGAGGTGTCAGCACTCTCTCCCCGCGTGGCCTTTCTAGATCATCAGCGGTCATTATTGACCGTCGGCAACAGCCATCTCAGGCAAAGAATTGCCGCCCTTGCACAAGACAAGATCTTCAAAGATGGTACCGAACCTTCCTGCCCATTTAAGCTAATTTATCCGTTTCTCTATGATAAATATGGGCTCCAGTGCCATCTTTTTTGTCAGGCACCAACTAGCACACCAAAAGACTGTTAATTTGAACAAAATGCAAATAATGTTTTGATGCAAACAGGTTTACTGAATGAAAATAAACATTCTGCAAAATAATTTATTTGATTGACTCCTAGTTAAGCAAAGCCATCCGGTGTCTTGTTTAAACTCATCCCAAAGTTGCAATGCAGCTCATCAAGAGGCACTCAAAGAGGAGATTGAGCGACTACGGCAGCTGTTCCACCACCAGAAGATCAAGGCCACAGGCGGCACAGACATGGCCACGGCCGCCTCAATGCAAGCCAAGCAAGAGCTCCTTATGTGTGAGGGAGCCGCGATGCGATAACACAACATGGCGCAACCAGCCTTTTTGTGGTGACTTTTTCCTTTCACTCTTGTCGATTCATCGTGTGGAAACACACCAATGTTACTAGATTATTTGTGCAGTTTGACATGTTCATTGTTTTTGTTTTTTGATGTTCACTCATCCCTACCGATAATTGTGTTGGGATGGGAAATTGTCGTAGATATATTGTTTGAACCATCCTTACATTTGTGTTGGTAAAGATATTTTCATTACATTTATTTGGTCTTCGGTGTGTGGGAAACAATTTTTTTTCTATAAAGGACACATCTATTGACTATAAAAGTCGCATCAAGATGACAAACAGAATGAACACACACCCAACCTATGCATAATTATGATGACACAACCAACACACAAAGAAAGAAAGTCTGACGCCCCCGATTCAATCGTACACTAATCATACACGCAAACGTATACGATCCAGATCAGAGACTCATGGGAAGATATCACAACACAACTCTAAACACAAAAGAAAGTCATACATGCTTCATATTACAAGCCAAGGGCCTCGAGGGCTCGAATACATAAGCGAGTCAGCGGAAGCAACAATATCTGACTACAGACATAAGTTAAACAAGTTTTTCCTTAAGAAGGCTAGCACAAACATCAACGATCAAAGAGGCAAGGCCTCCTGCCTGGGACCTCCTAACTACTCGTGGTCGTCGGCGGTCTCCACGTAGTAGCATCCGTCGCCGGTGGCTTCTGGCTCCAGGGGTCCACCATCTGGTTGCAACAACCAGAAAGAAGAAAGAATAGGGAAAAGGGGGGAGCAAAGCAGCCGTGAGTACTCTTCCAAAGTACTCGCAAGCATCAGATCTAAACTAAGTATGCATTGGTATCAAATGGAAGGGCTGTATCTATGGACTGAACTGCAGAATGCCAGAATAGAGGGGAAAGGCCTGGCCTATCGAAGACTAGCATCTTCAAGCAGCTCCAAGCATATTGCAGCATGTAGAAGAGTAAAGAATGGCGGTTTATAATTAACAAACATGTTGTAGCATTAATGCCCAGAGATCCTTCCTCGACTCCCTGCGAGAAAGCAATCCCGGAGCCACATATCTCAAGTATCCATTTCTAGTTGTAATAGATCGGGATATAAGTCTGGACGTCCGTTACCGTGGACACGGTTATTAATAGATAAACTTCCCTGCAGGGGTGCACCACGTTTTCCAACACACTTGATTACTCTGGCCGGACACACTTTTCTGGGTCAATGCCCGTCCTCGAAAGATCAACACGTCGTAGCCCTACCTAGGCTCAGCAGAGAGGTCCCCGCGGGTCTACATCCTAAGCACTCCGGGGTCTGGGCCCATCGCCCGTTGCACTCCGGGTCGTTGCGAGCAGGGCGGGTCCAAGCTCCACCTCTACATGGATGGTGCCGGCCCAGTCGTGCCGCAATGCTGAACTGGACTTCTAACAAAGCTTCGGCTGATACTACGTCGTCGAGGCCCATAGCTATTCTCGCGTAGTGGTTAGTGCGTAAAGACCAAGGCTAAATACCCAAACCATAGTGTATTATTAGCTTGCGGAGACGAGCAGAGACTCACAATCGATGTGACCCTGTCACCCCGTCTCGTGGACTTACGGCAAGGGCCCAGAATGCCCGACCGTGCCACGTAATTATCTTGCGGGTGCTCTCCGGGCCCGCCCGACTTTCACCAAGGTCTCAAGTAAAGTCAAGGTAACCGTGTGTCCAAACATCAAGGGGAAAACCCGAGGAATCACCCTCGGTGGATTCCACTCGATGTAATCATCAAGGTGAACGTAAGAGGAACCACCATTGAGGTTTACACTTGAGGGGTTGCACGACAGAGTCGTATCGGAAGTGGTTAAGGAGGAATATGAAGGAAATATGCCCTAGAGGGAATAATAAAGTTGTTATTTATATTTCCTTATATCATGATAAATGTTTATTATTCATGCTAGAATTGTAACCGGAAACTTGATACATATGTGGATACATAGACAAAACACCGTGTCCCTAGTAAGCCTCTACTAGACTAGCTCGTTAGTCAAAGATGGTTAAGTTTCCTAACCATGGACATGAGTTGTCATTTGATAACGGCATCACATCATTAGGAGTATGATGTGGTGGACAAGACCCATCCATTAGCTTAGCATAATGATCGTTAAGTTTTATTGCTATTGCTTTCTTCATGACGTATACATATTCCTTTGACTATGAGATTATACAACTCCCGAATGCCGGAGGAACACCTTGTGTGCTATCAAACATCACAACGTAACTGGGTGATTACAAAGATGCTCTACAGGTGTCTCCGAAGGTGTTTGTTGGGTTGGCATAGATCGAGATTAGGATTTGTCACTCCGAGTATCGGAGAGGTATCTCTGGGCCCTCTCGGTAATGCACATCATGATAAGCCTTGCAAGCAATGTGACTAATGAGTTAGTTACGGGATGATGCAATACAGAACGAGTAAAGAGACTTGCCGGTAACGAGATTGAACTAGGTATTATGATACCGACGATCGAATCTCGGGCAAGTAACATACCGATGACAAAGGGAACAACATATGTTGTTATGCGGTTTGACCGATAAAGATCTTCGTAGAATATGTAGGAGCCAATATGAGCATCTAGGTTCCGCTATTGGTTATTTGCCGGAGATGTGTCTCGGTCATGTCTACATAGTTCTCGAACCCATAGGGTCTGCACGCTTAACGTTCGATGACGATTTGTATTATGAGTTATGTGATTTGATGACCGAAGTTTGTCCGGAGTCCCGAATGAGATCACGGAAATGACGAGGAGTCTCGAAATGGTCGAGAGGTAAAGATCTATATATTGAAAGGCTATATTCGGACATCGGAAAGGTTTTGAGTGGTTCGGGTATTTTTTTGGAGTACCGAAGAGTTACGAGAATTCGCTGGGGAAGTATTGGGCCTTCATGGGCCTTAGTGGAAAGGAGAGAAGGGCCACAAGGGGAGGTCACGCCCCCCCATGGGCTGGTCCGAATTGGACTAGGAGGGGGCGACGCCCCCCTCCTTCCTTCTCCCCTCTTCCTCCTTCCCTTCTTCACCTAGTTGGAATAGGAAAGGGGGGCCGAATCCTACTTGGACCGGGAGTCCAAGTAGGACTCCCCCCTTTGGCGCGCCCCCTCTAGGGCTAGCCTCCTCTTCCCCCCTCCTTTATATACGTGGGAGGGGGGCACCCCAAAGGCACACCAAGTCTTCTCTTAGCCGTGTGCGGTGCCCCTTCCACAGATACACACCTCGGTCATATCATCGTAGTGTTTAGGTGAAGCCCTGTGCCGGTATCCTCATCATCACCGTCGCCATGCCGTCGTGTTGACGGAACTTTCCCTTGGCCTCAACTGGATCAAGAGTTTGAGGGACGTCATCGAGTTGAACGTGTGCTGAACACGTAGGTGCCGTACGTTCGGTACTTGGATCAGTTGGATCGCGAAGACGTTCGACTACATCAACCGCGTTACTAAACGCTTCCGCTTTCGATCTACGAGGGTACATGGACACACTCTCCCTGCTCGTTGCTATGCTTCTCCTAGATAGTTCTTGCGTGATCATAGGAAAATTTTAAAATACTACGTTCCCCAACAGTGGCATCCGAGCCAGGTCTATGCGTAGATGTTATATGCATGAGTAGAACAAAAAGTGTTGTGGGCGATAATAGTCATACTACTTACCAACAATGTCTAACTTTGATTCAACGGTATCGTTGGATGAAGCGGCCCAGACCGACATTACATGACCGCGTTCATGAGTTTGGTTCTACCGACGTGCTTCACACACGGGTGGCTAGTGGGTATCTGTTTCTCCAACTTTAGTTGAATCGAGTTTGGCTACGACAAGTCCTTGTTGAAGGTTAAAACAGTACACTTGATGAAAAATCGTTGTGGTTTTTGATGCGTAGGTAAGAACGGTTCTTGCTAGAAGCTCGTAGCATCCACATAAAACTTGCAACAACAAAGTAGAGGACGTCTAACTTGTTTTTCTAGGGCATGTTGTGACGTGATATGGTCAAGACGTGATGAGATATAAGTTGTTGTATCAGATGATCATGTTTTGTTAAAGTTATCGGTAACTGGCTTGAGCCTTATGGTTGTCTCCTTATTGCATAAGATGCAAGTGCCATATAATTGCTTTACTTTATCGCTATGCGATAGCAATAGTTGCAAAAGCAATAGTTGGCGAGAGGACCATGTGACGACACGTTGATAGAGATCAAGATGATGGAGATCATGGTGTCATGCCGGTGACGATGGAGATCATGACGGTACTTTGGAGATGGAGATCAAAGGCACAAGATGATGATGGCCATATCATGTCACATATTTTGATTGCATGTGATGTTTATCTTATTATGCATCTTATTTTGCTTAGTACGGCAGTAGCATTATAAGATGATCCCTCACTAAATTTCAACGTATAAGTGTTCTCCCTGAGTATGCACCGTTGCTACAGTTCGTCGTGCCGAGACACCACGTGATGATCGGGTGTGATAAGCTCTACGTTCACATACAACGGGTGCAAGCTAGTTTTGCACACGGAGAATACTCGGGTCAAACTTGACGAGCTTAGCATATGCAGATATGGCCTCGAAACGCTGAGACCGAAAGGTCGAGCATGAATCATATAGTAGATATGATCAACATAGAGATGTTCACCATTGAAAACTACTCCATCTCACGTGATGATCGGACATGGTTTAGTTGATATGGATCACGTGATCATTTAGATGACTAGAGGGATGTCTAGCTAAGTGGGAGTTCTTAAGTTATATGATTAATTGAACTTCAATTTATCATGAACTTAGTATTGATAGTATTTGCAAATTTTGTTGTAGATCAATAGCCCACGATGTAGCTCCTCGTTTATTTTTGATATGTTCCTAGAGAAAATAAGTTGAAAGATGATAGTAGCAATGATGCGGACTTGGTCCGTGATCTGAGGATTATCCTCATTGCTGCACAGAAGAATTATGTCCTTGATGCACCGCTA